ATAAAGTTGTAGCATGTCAGACCATCTTGATTGAATGTAACTTCGCTCCACACAAGTTTTATGGTAGACATATTCATATTGGTATCTAATAAATGATTAATTCTTAGATTTTATCGAACGTTAAACACATAAAGACAGAAACAATTTATAAATTGTTTCTGTCTTTATGTGTTTGTTTCAGATTATACAAGATGAAATCATTCAGTCAGCAAGACACTTGCTGCAGTTGCTGACATGATCCAACCGAGCTGCTGCTGTGATGAATCAGAATACAAGGTACTTTAGCAAGACTTATGAGTTAATGCTACATTGCAACATCTTGCAGAGAACAGAGTCAAGGTGGCCAGGGTACCAGCTTGGTCAACCCTGAAAGACCGTCCGTTCATCAAGAAATGACCAGGTGAAAAAGTCATAAACTAAACACTCTGCATGAGCATAGAATTTAGGATGCAACTTTATATCTTACCTGCTCTACACTCAGGGCTTGAATTACAACAGTCAATCACATAAAAAAAAATATATACTTTTGGTAGTTCTGTGTCTCTGTCTCTCCTCCAAACCCAGATGGCTGCTGGTACTGAACCGGGTTCTGGTTCTGCTGGAGGTTTCTTCTTGTTAAAGGGGAGTTTTTCCTCTGCACTGTCACTTCATGCTGCTCAGTGTGAGGGATTGTTGAGGTTGTGTCCATATGTCCTGGGAACAACTGCTGGGCAATGACACCATGCAATCTTCTGGGATTCCTTAGAAAACCTGTGAACTGCACTTGTCCTTGGTCTTCACAGCTCACCTTTTTACTGTTTATTGAATCAAAATGCTCCAGTGACATGGATTCTACATTGTAACTGATGTGATGTTCTATAAAGTGGTTTTAATAAAAAAAAAAGAGGCAAAAATTAGTTTGTTTCTTTATTCAATTTTTGAACAGTGATACTCAGTCAGTACATATTCAGTAAATGCAAATTATTTACACGGCAGTGCACTACAGGCATAAATCTAGACCTCTAGATAAAACATTATGGCATTGACGACTCCTCCACAGTAGCAGGTGGGATTTTTCTTTTTTGAGGACTGCTCCTTTTACCTGTCACTACAGATAGTCTGTTTATGTTTTGATGAAGAGGAGAAGTCTATCTTATGGCCAACCACTGATTGCATCTTGGTCACATTACCCAGCAAAACCCAGTATGCAGGTTCATCTGTAACAGTCTTTGTGCCACAGATCAACACTGTTGCTTCTACATTAAACAGAAGAGCAGTGACGTGGGTGCAGGTCTCCGGCCTTACAGCTGCAGTGGGCGGCTTCAACCTTCCCTGTGATGCTCAGTGACCCATGGCTGCAATGCTGGTTCATTCAGTCTTTGAGAGTGCAGGACCTGAAACACACA